TTTTTCTACTGAGAGAAGCCATTACACCCTAATAGGAATGAACAGATTTTGGTTCTAAATATCATTTCTCCACTAAAAGGAACCAGGGCTGCTTGGAGAAATGGGTAGATTCCAGGGCTGGGGATGGGAAAAAATAAGATGAGCCCTGAGCATCTTGTAGTGTCAGAAAGCCAGGAAGTGCTTTAAAAAAAAAATGACGAAAACATGTCAAAGGGACATAGAAGTCAACTTAAAGGTTGACTAAATCTGGGACAATTTGAGTGTCATAGTATTAGTGATAGCAATTGATTATAATTAATTGAATAAAAAAAGAACACTAGTCTCTATTGATATAAATAAACAAACAGGGGAGAAGATTCTTTACAGGAGCTCTGGTGGCATAGTGCCTAAGGCATTTGACTGCTAACCAGAAGGCTGGCGGTTCAAACCCAACATCCACTCCTGGGAAGGAAGGTTGGGCAATCTACTTCCGTAGTAATACCGCCTCAGAAACTCCATGGCCCTGAGTTTGGTTTTGTTTGGTACAGTAGACTAAACCAACTAAACAAACCCGCTGCCATCGAGTAGATTCCAATTCAAAGTGACCCTACATGACAGTAGAACTGCTCCACGGGGTTCCAAAACTATAAATATGGAAACAGATTGCCTCATCTTTCTTCGGCAGAGCTGCTGATGGGTTCAAACCCCTGACTTTTTGGTTATCAGCTGAATGCTTTAATCAATGCACTGCCAGAGGTCCTTTTACAGTGGAATTAAAAAAACTCGAATTCACTGCCATGGAGTCAATTCTAACTCACAGCGACCCCCATTGGGTTTCCAAGGCTGTGACTCTTTAGGCAAGTACACCGCCCCCATTTTCTACAGCAAAGCGGTTGGTGAGTTTGAACCACCAACCTTGATGGTTAGTAGCCTAACGCCGTAACCACTGTACCACCAGAACTCTTTTTTCCATTATGTTGTTTTTGTTATGTGCCATGGAGTCGGACCCGACTCACAGCGACCCCTCCTTGGGTTTCCAAGGCAGTATCACTACGGAAGTAGATTGCCCCATCTTCCTTCCGAGGAGTGGCTG